TCACCACGACCACAGCACCACTTGCTCCTTGCCACTGTTGCTCACATGAGCAAGAGGCATCTCTTCACACCTTCATTTTCAATACAGATACAGCCACACTATATAAACAGCAATCAAACAAATTAAAACCATGATGAGGTATGAGTAAAACTATAAAAGGAAAAATAGAGGAAAACAGTGAAACATAAGAGGAAAGATCACGAGAAAAAACCCTCCAAAGCAGGAAACTGCCTCACTGCTGCCTCTGCTCATGAATTGACCTGTATTTTACACCTCAGCTACTGTTGGGACATCAACCAAGCTCTCCTCAAGCATCATCCTCATCTTACTCTTTTTGAAGATCAGAATAGGGAGAAACTGTTCCCTGCATTGTGAATATCAGCACACCAAAACATGATTTAAGACAATCCTTGCAATGCGCTACTGTTGTCAATTTGATTTTTAAACAGGTAATACCTTATAACGTGTGGCTTATTAGCTGCAACTCCTGCACTCCAGTCAAGAAGCACAAGCAACACAGAACAAATTAATCTGTCATTTGGGGATGGAGTCCCTCCAGGCAAGATTAGAGCACACAGGCAGTGGGAGTACCTCCCCTGTGATCAGGCAGGACCAACTTTGTGGGTTAACCAGAGGGATCTTGTCTTCATCTGGCCAGGGACATTAAGACAGACAAAATATCCTTCATTAAGTATGTCAGCGAGAAAAGAAAGGCTAGGGAAAACGTGGACCCTCTCCAGAAGGAAACGCAAGAACTGGTTACCCGGGACAGAGACAGAGCTGAGGTCCTCAACAACTTTTTTGCCTCAGTCTTCACTGGCAAGGACTGCAGCCGCACTGCCCATGATACAGAATGCAAAGGCGAGGATTGGGAAAATGAAGAACCGCCCACTGTAGGCGAGGATCAAGTGCAAGAGCCCCTGAGGAACCTGAAGGTGCACAAGTCCATGTGACCTGATGAGATACATCCACGGGTCCTGAGAGAACTGGCAGACGAAGTCGCTAAGCCACTGGCCATCATATTTGAGAAGTCGTGGTGGTCTGATGAGGTTCCTGCCGACTGGAAAAGGGGGATCATAACCCCTATTTTCAAAAAGAGAAAGAAGGAAGACCTGGGGAACTACAGGCCAGTCAGTCTCACGTCTGTGCCTGGCAAGATCATGGAGCAGATCCTCCTGGAAGCTCCGCAGAGGCACACAGAAAACAAGGAGGTGATTGGTGACAGCCAGCATGGCTTCACCAAGGAAAAGTCATGCCTGACAAATCTGGTGGCCCTCTATGAAGGGGTTACAGCAGCAGTGGACAAGGGAGAAGAGAAGGCTCAGAGGGAACCTCATCACAGTATGCCAGTACTGACAGGATGGTTACAAAGAGGATGGAGGCTCTCTCTTCACAGGAAGCCACATGGAGAAGACAAGACGCAACAAGTACAAGTTGCACTGGGAGATGTTTAATCTTAATATAAGAAAGAAATTTTTTACAGTGAGATCAACCATTCACTGGAACAACTTCCCCAGGGATGTGCTGGAGTCCCCGTCACCACAGATTTTCAAGATGCAACACGACAGGGTGATAGATAATCTCATCTAGGATCGCTTTCCCACAGAAGCCTGGACCAGACGATCTTTCAAGGTCCCTTCCAGCCCAGGCTGTTCTTTGAGTCTATGATTCTAACTAGTCACAAGCTTGTTTAAGGTTTTAGGGGAAACTTTTCCACACACCAAATTGCATGGAAGACAATAAAGCTACCTCAAAAGAATGCAAGGGCTCAATAAAACCCATTGGACTGCTATTTCCAGAGCTTTCGTTCCCCGTACCTCAGATTTTACATATAACCATTTTCATTCCTCCCTTCATGCCTTCCATTCCATTTCATTTTTCCACTCATACCTTTGCACAACAGAAGTCTTTCTGTGTTAGCCAATCTTTGGTAGTATTTTTCTTTCCAAGATGTCTACCGCAGTTAAAAGTATTTGCTGCACCGCTCTCTGCTGGTGCCGAGGAGAACCTCTGGATAAATGTTAAAAAGAAAAAAAAAAAAAAAAAGGTCTGCATAAAAATCCAACCTGCTTCATAAAGATCAGGTTCTCATCTAGGATCCACAATCAAGCTACAAACTGGGACAGAACAGTAAGAAGTTCACCTAACATCTTCACACTGTGCTGCCTTGCAAACCTCATTACTTCTGTGCAGGAAGTACAACACAGCATCCTTGTAGCAGTTCTCAGGAATACTTCAGGACAGGAGATGGAGAACACTTCACACAGATGAAACAGAAACAATGGAGATTGGGATACCCCAATTTAGAGCCATGATTTTAATGGTTTGGGCATGCTTCTTCAAAGAAAGACACACAAATATGTTCAATTCTACCCAGTCACAGTTTAAGCACCTCTTGTAATATCAGACCGCCGCTTACTGAGTCAGCAGCCTACTCATGCATACGTAAGGCAGGCTGTGATGTCATTTCTGAATGTACTAACACTGCTGACCAGCATTAACTCCGGGCTTCCTCTGGACAGGACAGCACACGCGCCTTCCTGTAACGCACATTACTCAGCGTGTCAAGGACAAAAGCACAGAGACATTCCTCCACAGTAGGACTCACTAATGAATTCAGGCACATGCTGGGGATGGCAGTCCTGGCAAGCAGACAGACAGACCACATCACTGTCTAGAACTTCAGCGGCTATTAGGTGCCCAATTCCAAGACAGGAGCTCAATTACATCCATATATCCTGGGATCCCAGTTACAGATACTGGTTTCATGTGTCCTGAACTTTTATTTTTCACAGTAGAATCTACAGCTGAGGGAAAGTATAGAGTCACTCACCTGCCAAGGCTTTTGCTGATCTCTCACAGGTCTTGGACAGTTAAGTCTTAGTAGCCAGGTAGTGTCTGAGCTATTCACAGTACACATTGTTGGACTAGTCTGCGAGAACCATTATAATATTCAAAACCATATAAAACTATTGTATAAACAGCAAAAACCTAGTTTTCTTATGATTCCGACCAAACAATGAAATAAATTTCAGAAAGAATTCTACCAGCAGCATTTTCCGATCACAGTAAGTTAAACTGAGAGATGAAGTATCAGGTTTATAGTCAGTTAATCTCTCTGATAGTAACTGTTTTCATGTCCATGAGCAACAGACAGTACATTTTGTTTCAAAGAAAAAAAAGTGATTCACAAATTATTCCAGAATGCTTGTCAGCTTTGAAAACATTTCAGAGTTATCAAATTCCATCTCCTGACTTTTACTTCTTTCCTTTGTGCCTTTTTCAACTACAAAAAAGTCACTTTCAAATAACCACTACATTCCACCATAGGGATGGTTGCATTTTAGTGGTTTTTAAAGTTAGTTGTACCAGGTGAAGCTTATGCTGAAGCACTAACTCTGCATACCAGCCAGGAAATTCTATCTCCTCTATTGGATCCAAATATACACCAGTATATTTGGATCGATTTATAACACAGAGACAGTAGGACCACAGAGGCAAAATGCCCTTTACAGGAACCACCATTTAAACCTGTGGAACTTCCTCTAACATGATTTCCTGCCTTCTCTGTACAAAGGAGACAAAAGATGCAGAGTAAAATAGGGGCTTACAATTAGGACACTACTACATGATCTGGAAAGCGGGTAACTTGCCTCTCTCCACCTGGAGATGTAGATTATTTTGTTTTGGTCTACATATGCCCTGTTGCTTCCACAATGTTGTGCCTGCCATGAGGGTTGATATTCCCTGTGAGAAGTCTCCTGTTCCGAAAACCATCTCCCCTTTTTCCAGACAGCCCAAGTCTAAGTTCCAAGGAATGCTGTAAAGCATATCAGACCTTGCGGTCTCTTAGGAGCAGGTGAAGGATTCTCGCAGTTTACTCTTCATCCTGCAATGACCAATTAAAGGAGGCTGTGAACTATACTACTTACATGGATAAGTAACAGTAAGCGCACCCTGATTAGCACTGAACTAACTTCTGATATAAAATAAACAGGCAAACAGTGAGGACTTAAGAAGATCCAGATACCTGTGAGGTGCTACAAATTCAGTATTAGCAAGTCAACACACATTCCTATGAGCAATATCCTACCTACCTGCAAAGGTGCCATGGGCTCCTGCTTCAGGCCATCTTTTGCAGATTTCCTTCCACTCAAAGCAGTTTTGTTCTTCTGAGATAGGGATGCTGTAAATCCCTGGACAAGCTTAAGATGAGGAAAATATATATTTTAATAGTTTCTAAGCTTACAAACCAAACAAACCCCACACTAGCCTCCTTTCCACCTGTTTTCAGTAACTAGTATTAAGACTCCATCTTCATCCATCTTACAAAGAAAGACTGAGCTTTTCTGTGAGCATAAAGCAAAGGAGATGTTTGATCTTATCACAGAGGATTAGGACCGCAGGAGAGGCACGACAGAGCAAACAGAAAATCTGCCTCCCGTAGCAATCTGCTAATCACAAGGAGTAAAGTCTCTAGCTGCAGATTTTTTTCCCCAATCTTAATAACTAAAGCAGCCACTGAATCTTGATCCTTTCTTTTTCCATTTTGTTTGGACTCTTGCTATGAGATGCCAACTCTGCAAAGGCAAAGACCACTTGTATGAGACACCAGCTCTTTGGCAGATCTTAAAAGTTTTAGTTTAATCTTGTGTTGGTACAGAAACACAGTAAAAGATTTCCACAGTTTGAACAGATAAAACAAGATCTAAAGTTAATCTAACAGTTGTGTCCACAAGTGCTAAACCCCATGAGCGGGTTGGCTGTTCTGTATGAGGACCTGAGAATAACTCTGCCTAAAATTTCTTGCTAGATACACCTGCATTCTACTTTGCAGTCAGCAGTACAGCTTTGTAATTTTTTTAAAGACATGTTTCTCTTGCTTCACGAGCCCTGTTCAGTCAAGTAGAACATTCTTCCCCAAACACCCATCTGCTAAAATTCACAGTCTCTGCCCAAACACGAGTCTTAGCAACGGCTTTGAGAAGACATATTTTTAGCATTTCTGTGACAAAAAGTCTGTATCCTTACACAAGCTTTGGTCCTCTCAAAAGCCCCTTTCTGACAAAAGCTTTATGTGGGCCATGCCTGTAGGCTTACGTGTTGCCATCTCTCAGCATACACGCACGTCCCCCATTGCAAGCACAGCAGGCTGCCTTTACTGGTGGCTTGGGCCCTGCTGATACTCTTAAGACACCAGGACAGAGCATGAGGAGAGAACCAGCCTCTAGGACAAACACTGCAGCTCTGTGAACAGAATCTAGTAGTTTGTGAATGCAAACAGGTACCGTGCACACGTCCACAGGACCCACAGGCCTCTCCTCTCCACCTCAGAGGCGGCGATGGGCCAACCCCGGTGAGAGAGAAAGGCTGGGCCTGCCCCGCACCCTGCCCAGCCCCGAGGCGGGTCCCACAGGCCCGAGGGGAGGCGAG